GAAAGACAGAAGAGCAAGTGAAAGAACACGGCCCTCAAACAAACTGCACACACACACACACTTTCATGTTGGTGAGCGTACATCCAGATTTGAGGCTGCAAAATGGCCCTTGGTTCCGGAAAGAAACTCAGAAGGAAAAAGTCACCTTCAGCGAGCGTGAATCAGCAGCAAAGCCGAACAGCATCTCATGAAAACAATGAATCGACCGGCCGCAACAGACGTGTCATGTATAGTATAACATACCTGTACTATACTAAAAAACAGTATAATATTATATACGAAATACTATATTGTAGTATTGTACAATCTAATATATTACACTATAATATTAAGTCTAGAGACTGCAGGCCGAGGTGCCAAGAAGACTCCTTGGGAGTCATTAGCCAACTGGAGCAGAGTGGGCCTGATTCAAACCGCATAGTAATAGCAATAACAATAACCAAGAATAACAAGAACAATAATACCAATAACAATAATACAAGTACAATAAGAACAATAATCATAGCAGATTAGCAAAAATATTGAATTCATAAGAAGAATACTAGTAATAGTAAGAATATCAGTAATAGAAATATTCGTAAGAATGCCACAGTGAACACAAGCAGCTCAGGGCCGGGACGTGCCACTTGCCATGCTGCACTCCTGTGAAGCAGGTTGGACACTAAACCCACATTACATAGGAGTTTCCCAAAATTAGCGACACCTTTTTTCCGGTCCCTCTAACAAGGATTATAGTATTTTGGGGTCTATGTAGGGGTCCCCTGTATGGAGAAACTGCCATATTATATATAACTTAATGATGATTCAATCCCACAAGCCACAAGCAGCTTCGCAGCGTCCAGGTCCATGCCAATCACTTTGGAGGCCGAGATGGAGGCGCGCAGGCTCTGGACAGTGGCCTGCTCCAGCGCCCGTGAACTGTTTGTCTCTGGCTTTGAAGCAAGTCTTGGACCATGGCTTCGAGGCCGTAGGCAGTGAGCCCAGCCTCTGTAGAGACAAATTCGACATCAACCTCTGCAGGAAGGCGAAGATATACCTCGCCGCGGGACGCCGCAGGATACAGGTTTCAAAGCACCATTCAGACCATTAATGCTCTGACTTTCCATGCTGAGACATTGACACTGCTCTCTGCTGCGCTGTTTTGGCTCTGTAGCCGGACTGCTTCAGGAACATGAACATCCCAGGCATCCGCGAGGTCCACTGCCAAATCCACCTTTTGAAACGTGAAGGTCCAAGGCAGGGCTTTGTGCGAGCGTCGGCAGGCCAACCTCGCCACACGATAAGAGTCCGTTCACGCATCGTCCACGCAGGCGCACCTCCTTCTAACCCCGGGCTCTTACAGAGTCTACCTCCGCGCGCTGGCAACGATCAGGGCCTCAAGGCTCAAGCCCACGATCGCCTCACGCCGGCCTGGTGCAAGAGTCCAACTACAAAGCTTGATAAATCAGTCGAAGCTTCAGCAGGCTACGTGGCTACGTGACTTGCTCAGCTTTGCAAACGCTCTCTGGCATCAACGTCAGAAACTGCAGGCCTTTCTCAATGGCAGACTCCAAAGCCTTGTCAGCTCTTTAGAAGGCCCCACATGGCCCCACGGTCACACAGGACAGCAGGCAGAGAACTGGAATGCAGCCTCCTTGCGCCAAAGATAGCCAGCGTCTGGAAATTGTCTCTGTAGGTCGAGGGCCTGTGGAGCTGTGTGCTGCAGGTGTTGCTGTGGCTTGTGGGCGCTCCCAAGGTGAAAACAACCGTGCTTTGTTGGACTTTCTGCGGCTTTCCAGAGGCAGATAGCTTCTAATGCCAATACATTTTCGGGCTGATCTCTTTCTCTGACAGCTCATTGACTGCACTGCCAGGACTCGTAGGAGCAATTTGGTGGGAGAATGCTCAGATGTGTTCATCATGGTTCATGGCGATTCGGCTCCTGCCCAAAGGCAGGAAGCTCCCAGTCTACGTATCTTGTCTCTTCCCTGTCACCTCGACAGCTTTCGCCGCCGCTTTCAGACGCCCGTGCTCCTACGACAGCGACAGAACTCTGAGCTTCCGTGAGCACATCTTAGAATTTCAGGCTGCAGCGTCTCAGAGGATCCTGCGCTTGTGCAAGTCTTACTGCTGTGCTCCCTTCCGCGACTCAACGCTACACAGAGATGGGATCTTGATGTAGCTCTACGTAAGGCGTGAGGTCTTGAGCATACTTGACCGCCATGCCCGCACAACTGCACGAAAGCAAGGGATTTGGATACATGCCAGAACGCACGTGGGAATGTCCTGGATGTTGCTCCTATCCGCATAGGATTCTCAGGCTACGTTGCAAGATTTCTGCAGAGCCGCCTGTCCTGTCGATGCTCAATGAGGAAACACTGAGCTTGGCTGTCAAGACCTTGCAAGTTCGTCAAGTCTTCACAAGAGTGCAGGATTTCCCTTCGCCATGACATTGTGATGTGCCCCAAGCGCACCTTTGGCCATTTGAAGAACAGCCTCATCACGAGTTCCGTCGTCAGCCTCCTTGATCACGCTGCAGGATGCCTTGCGATGCTACGGAAAGGCGAGAACTCCCAGATATTGCAGCGTCTCACCTCCACTGCTAGCAGCCCCGGCAACGAACCAAGAGCGACCGCAGACAGGGCCTGCAGGCACCAGCATCGTGAAGACAGATGAACAAGTGTTCTTGCTGAGTCTCTTGCCCACGCTCCAGGTAGCACAACATCCCTCAGTACAGCATCCGAGAAAGCAGAACGCACCTGCCCAGATGTGCAAGCAAGAAAGCAACAGCAGCATGATCAGAAGAACTGATTGCTGCGAAGAAAGGCCAGGCTGAACATCTTCAAACGTTGAATTACTCGCAAGAAGCTGAAGTCTCGTAGACCTTGCTGGTTTGCCGTAGATGGCCTCCTGATCGAGCTGCTCCAAACGTATGCCCCAAACCTCAAGGCACAGGATGGAGAATGTTGCGACCAGGCAGGGGCTGCCCTGACAATACTTCGAGATTGAGGCGTTGGCTTTCAGGACCCGGCAAAGAAGCTTGAGCCCGCCCATGGAAGGGCTGCGGTTGCCTGCTTGAGGAAACAATTGAGGACAACAACAAAAACCCTGCGACCTCGCCTCCAGATGGTGCGGTCGCAAGCTGTGTCAACAGCCTACTATATTTGTTACACAGTCATGGCAAGAGTGATGCTCACACGGTGCACAAGCCAAGACACAACTAGGAGACGGGCGCCTGCACGGATGCTGAGGGCACCTCAGAGACTCCTGTCAGCGCTCATCCGCGGCTTACGTGCCAATTGGTCTTCCGTTGAGCCCCAGCCCCAGATGGCCAGATGGGCCTGGGCCGAGATCTGCCAGAAGAGCTGCGGCTTGCGATCGCCAGGGCTCGACCTGTAGCGGTATCAGAGTGCACCGCAAAAGCTGAAAGCTCGCAAAGCGCAGCCTGTTTCGATGCTGGTCCAAACCAACCGAGCAGTGCCCGTGAGCATCAAGCTCAACACCGAATTAGGGCGACTCTTCAGCTCACCGAAAACACAAATTATGCGCAAACAAGCTGCAAAAGTGAGAAGCCTGACACTCTACAAGCAGACTCGCACATGGCACTTGTGCTGACTCCGCATAGCCACTGGCCCTGTCCAACTTGGTTGCATGACCTTTTTAAACCTCACCGGTTAGAAGGGACAGCACTTCTTGGTCGACCGCGCCTTGGCCGAAGCCGGCTTAGCCGGCTCAGCAGATTTGGCCGGTGCGGCCGAAAAGTCTCCCTGCTCTTCTGCTGCAGGCTTAGCCGGCTCAGCCGGCTCAGCCGGCTTAGCTGGCTTAGCGACCGGACTGATCTCAGCTGTGGTCTGGCTGACCTAGTTCAACACAGTTGCAACTGGGCTTGCGCCACACTGAAGAACCCTCAACTCACACTTGCCTGTTCAGAGCGACAAAGGCACGCTGTGCATCAGATCATGTTTGTTCTTCATGCACAAAATGTATCTCATGCACGGGTGGTTGCTTTCTCTTGATTGGGGGCTTAGCATGCCTGGTGAACATGCTCTCGGGTTCAAATTCCTTGCAAGATGTGTGTAGCCTCTCAGCAGCAAAAGCTGCAATACTGCCTATGTAGCACAAAGCAGTCCCACTGCAATAAACGTGGCACTGAAAGAGCTTTGCTTGGACCACTCTATGCTCAGGGCCTCCTCCGGGCTCTCCTCCGGGATCGTGTGCCTCGTTTTACCAACGTCTGGATTCTGCCTGCGGCGACGGCCGTGCCGGGCTCAGCACAGGCTGCCGGTCTTGAGAGACATCATGTCGTCAAGCCTTCAAGTTCGAAGGTCTGGCGTGCAGTTACGACTATGCTCCGCAAACGCTAGCCTCAACTCGTCTTCGTGATCAGCACTTGACGCGCAGCAACTAAGCGAGAAGGAATCTGGCGCAGAAGTTTGATGCTGCAAGTTCTCACAAGGTGTGGAGCATGCGCCGTGCCTGATGCTGCCATTTCAGTGCCCAGGACAAGCTCCGCCTGCAAGGCACTTAAACATGCATTTACAGCGGCTGATGGCCCGAGGGTAACTCCACTATGCCACTATGCCCCGCATCGCTAAGAGTCGTCTTCTGAAACAGGCAGAATCAACAAACTCTCATGGGAAGCTCAGGATGGAAATGTCTTGACGTTTGCCTTGACGAATGGTCCTTTCAGCATCCGTCGAGGATCCTGACAAAGTGCAAATGAAGAATCTCGAGAGCGGCAAAGCCTGAGGCCACGGCCAGGTCCAAGCGTACTGCCTAAGGACTGTTTAGGATTCTCGTCTTCAACAGCCAGCTGCTTGCGATCATGGTGCATCGCTGCTTGGTGAGGTGGCTCAGTGCCCCGCACCGCAGTTGGGCAGCTTCAACTTGCTCAGTTGCTGCCCGAGCTCAGACTTCCTGCTACTCACAGCTGCCTCATGTAGGGTTCTCAAATTGGGACACATCTAGCGACCCTCACGACAGACTTCCATAATGTCAGTTCCATCAATGAGGAGCTTCTCCTCACGTCGTCCGACAAGAATTCGCGCATCAGCTGCTGGAAGAAGAGCGAGTGCCCGAAGACCACCACACTTTCCTGAGACCTTGGCCCGCCGTCCACTCGGTCAAACAATGTCAAGCAGGAGCCGCACATGGCATCATAGCTCTGGAGGCGCCGCGAAAAAAGGAGCTGGAACATAAACTCCTGCAAACGGGCCTCCAGAAAATGACAATTTGCTTCAGGCCAGGCTGTCCAAAGGGGCAAATTAAGTGGTCAAGGCAAGCCTTCAGCTGCGCTGTGGACTCTGCTTGGCCGTCTGGCCACCATCTGTCCAGCACCTGCAGGGCTTCGCAGCTTGCGAAGACTTGCGCAAAGCATTGAATCACGGAACTCCGCAGCCAGAAGCAAAATGCCTCTTCGAGGTCAAAGCGCATCTGCTGAAAGGAGTTTACGATGAACTTGTCCTGCGGGTTGAAGCATGACTTGCAAACCAAAAGGGTGATTTCTGATGACGGTCAAACGCTCAGGGTTAGATGGGTCGTTCTGTTTCTTCCGGAGAAGCTTGTGTTAACCCAACGCCGTTTCGCTTTGGTCCAAACCCTGTTCTAGCACTGGGCACCCAATGCCAGACCCGATGATTGTGATTTTTTGGGACACCCAAACTCCGGCCTTCTCGAGATCGGAGTAAAGAGATTTCAGCCTTGCTCAGAGACGCGTATGCTTGATTGTGCAAGCAGACAACCCTTCGTCTAGCTAACGGGCCTGCTCGAAGGCAACCGCTTTAAGTAGTGGTTGAGTAGAACCAGCTGTGCTCAAACATAATCCTTCCTCTAAGACCCAAGCTCGTCCAGGCTTGTTGCCAGGATCTCCTTCAGCAAATGGCGGTGACCGGCAGTTCTAGCAATTCTAGCAAAGTCACGTGAACTGCACCTCACCCATCTTTGTGCATACCGTGTCCAAGCCACCGAAGTTCTGCTTCTCCTGCGAGTGGCTTGATTCGCTTTCTCATCCTCAGCATTTTTTCTGAAGCAGTCCTTGCAATTTGGAGCCAGCACTAGCCTGCAAGCAGGCTATCCGGCAAAGCGACAGGCCAACACCCATGCAAACACGGTCTGCTTCCGAGGATGCAGCTCGGTTTGGCGGACTGACTCTGCCTGCAGCCGAGTGTAACGTCGCGTGCAGGCTTGGTTGAAGGTTGGGTGAACCTTGTCCTGGAGGGGGCCGTATGCGATGACTGCAGTTTGCAGAGCTCGGCCGAGAGGTGATGCCTCGCTGGCTAGAAGAATGAAACCCTTGCTCCAGAAACATGCAATGTCAGGCAGTGACCATTACCATTCCAGGCTGCAGCATTTGGGCCACACTCGGGTTGGCGTTGCCAGCGTGGGCCTGTTGGCCACGGTCTTTCACTGCAGCGCTGTCAGTTGCTGTGGTAGCCGCACTTTCCCCTGGTCCTTGTCAAGCTCAATCTGCAAGAGATTTCGCAAGGCCTCTGCCTCACATAATATTGTCTCAGGCGCAGCACATCCTAATGAAATGTTTTTGAACCAGCCTGGTTCCGGCCCTTCTTGGAAAGAGGATGATCGGTAGTGCGAACCATGCCACGCAAGTCCAAGCTGCTCTGGGCCTACCGCAGTCTCAAACAAGGTGCCACACATTTGCGGGCACCGTTCTGCAGGTCGCTACAATGCAGACCCTGGGAAGTTGGAAACATTTGCAGTGAGCAACTCTTACTGATGCGCTCCATGTCGGCTTCCTTCGATTCTTGAGCCCGCCTCCAACCCCTACAGCCGTTATTCTGGGAACCAATAATTACGCCAAAGAAGACCCGTGGCCTTGTTCCACTCGCTCTCGCCATGTCGAACCAAGAACCTCGAGGAGCCAGCAAACTCTGTGCCAGACTTTCAATTTAGGTCGTATTAAAACCGAAGGTTCTTACCAGCGCAATGACCACAAAAAAAATATGGCCTCAACACATACCGTTTCGTCACCCCCTCCTACTACAATATGCTAATATACCAAGGGATCCAGAATGTTCAGAAAACTTAGAAAAGCACCGACAACGTGACTGTTGTTTTGGCTAGAAGTGTTGGAAGCACTGTTCTGGCTGTTTTGGTGTTTTGGTGTTTTGGCCGTGCTTGTGTGAGTTTGCGGACGAAGAGGAGGACGACAAGCATAGCTATTATTCCTTCATGTTCCTTCCGCCCGCATCTGTTGCTGTTTGCGGCACCATACAGTACAGGCAAACACCGTAGTCCCACCAAGTTTGTTGTGGAATGCCCGGCCGCACGGAACTATGCCCACCAACTGTGTCAGAAAGTCCCACCAAAACTGATCCCCACTTATCGGCAGCTGACGCATACCTACCGATCAAGGCCTGCAACTCGCTTCCCCGTTGAACTAAAGTCCCACCAAGAATTTTCGTGCGGCGCCACCTTCTCGGACATGTGCAAGATCTACAGACATTTACCGTCTCCACCATGCAATTGCGAAGTGAGAAAACCTGGCCTCTACTTGCACTCAGAATGGCTGCACCGAATCTGAACGAGAGCACCCCAAGATGCCATTGCACTGCGAAGAAATCTTGTCTCCGTCTAGTATGTGATTTGAACGCGCGCGCGACCAACAACACCACCGCATGGAACTGTGAAGAAACACCGTCTTCACTCGCGACAAGCCTGTCCTCGTGGCAAGGCGAAGCTTTGCATGCCCCGCCACCAGCAACAGAACCCCAAAACGCGATGTAGCGGCATCGCCTTTCCCCATGTGCTCACGGTGACTTCAATCATGTGCTCATGGTGACTTTAATGCTTGGTTAAGAGCACCATCCCAAAACACGATGGAACTGCGAACCTGCTATACTTACTTTCCCACCTTTACTCCGATCACAATGGGTAAACCAACCCAATAGACATGATCTCAGCCCAAGCCCCGCTTCCGCAAGGCACAACCAAACACCAAAATGTACCTCACGCAACTGCACCTCTGCGATGATGCCAACTACAGCTTTGACCCTTCCCGGCATTTTTCTATGTTTTTAACATACCTTTCCCCGTGGAAAAGCGACACACGGCATCAACAGAACATGAACAGAACATGCAGGATCTGAGAAGGATTTGGTTTTCTAACCCTTGTTTCCAAGCGATTTCAAACTTCCCAGAGAGTTCGGGGCGGCTACAAAGTTTTTGGAGTAGCTCCCTCGCCTGCTCAAGCTGCTTTTGCTGTGCTGGCTGCGGTAGCTGCTGCTGCTGCTGCTCCTGCTGCTGCTACTACTACTACTACTACTACTACTACTGCAGTGACGACAATATTTTGAAATTATAATTAGTATTACTCCTACTCCTACTCCTCCTACTACTACTACTGGCTACTACTACTGTCTACTACTACTGTCTACTACTATTATCACCACCACCACCACCACCACCACCACCACCACCACCACCACCACCACCACCACCACCACCACCACCACCACCACCGTGCAAGGGTCGGGGCTTGATTTAGGGTAGATGCAAGGGTCGGGGCTTGATTTAAGGTCGGGGCTTGATTTAGGGTCGGGGCTTGATTTAGGGTCGGGGCTTGATTTAGGGTCGGTGCACGGGTCGGGGCTTGATTTAGGGAGCATACAGAATGCTGCTGCCGCCGCCTGCTAGTGCTAGCATACGCACTGTGAAGCTAGTGCTAGCATATTGGAAACGCACTGTGAATGATGCGTCGTCGGGAATGATGAAGCACAGACCAAGGAAAATGGAGGTTAACGGGAGGCCAAGGGCAGCGAAGGGCCAAGCGCAATTAAGCAAGGGTGCCCCGTTCAGGAAGGCAAGTGGGCCGACCAAGGGCATGGAGAGCGCTCACGCAGACGCGACACTTGCTGCGTCGCAGGAGCGTGCCGCGGCTTTGAAGCGTGCTGCGCGTGAGAAGCTGGCTGTGGTCACCACTACTACTACGACTACTACTACTACTACCACCACTACTACTAGAAGCCGCCCCCCCAGGCACTACGTTTTGTGATATGTTTATCATCATGTTGTAATATCCTTCCCCGAGATTGCGGTCAATTGCAAGAGCAATGCTACGAGATATCACGAAGCTCTGCGGCCGATGGGACATTTGCCAGGTCCACTGTCTCCACATGTGACCCTTTAACAATTCGCCGAGCTGAGCGCCTGAAGGCGACATCAAGTGTTTTCATGTGGGAGACGAACTTCTTCGTTTGGCTGTCTGACTAGTCCGTTACGTCAGGGTAGCATTACAGACAGAAAAACAGCAAGCAATGCACAGACGCAGACCCCCCATTTTCTGTTTAGCGGTAGGTCAGGCGGCAGTGATCACTGGAAGGTCAAATCCGAGAAGGATCAGACAGGTCCTGCAAAAACTACAGGCAGAAACAGGCTGCATCACGCGGCCGATGCTGACAGAGCAGAACAGGAGCACTCTGGCTCCAGGTTCACACGCAGAAATCCAAGGCAAAAGTCCAAGCAGGTGCAAAAGGGCAGGCCTGAGACAGGCACTTGGAGAAAGTCAAGCGGGGCAGGAGCCCAGAAGACAGGAAGGCGGGCCAAAGTCCCGGTGGTGACAGGGGTTGGCAGGCGGCCTGGTCTATGCTGTTGCGACAGACAGCCCAACAAAATACACGCACAATCGCGGAGAGCTTGCTGGTTTTATAGGGTCAGGGAGGATGGCTGGTTAAAGAAGGCATCTGGCTTGTACGTAACTCAACTCGCCCAACCACATGCTTGTTGATCTACAAAACATGAATGAGATGGATGGGCTCTAGCCTTGAAGCTGTTTGGGGCTTAGCATTTGGGAATGTTTAGGATTTTGGTCATGAGGTTGGGTTGTTTGAGGTTTACGTCTGACAGCTGAGGGCTTGGGATTCTTTAATTAAGACACCCCTTTGCACCCTGTCGTCGCCAGCCTCCATCGGGCAGCGACTTGAGCTTGAGTATTGGCAGTGGCCTCTCACTTTGGGTACGTCAGCTTGCGCAACGATCCCTTACCTGCAACTGTAGGCTTTTCGCGGTCGAGGTCAAGCAAGGATCTGCACCACTGACTCCATTGACCTGGCCATTGTTGTCTCGATGTAGAAGTGCACGGTGCAGCTGTCCTTTTGTCCTTCAACCATCTGATCAACCGTCTGCGCCAAGCTGTTTCTGGCTTAGGGCTGAGGGTTGCCTAGGGTTCGGGGTTGGTTGGGGCCTGGAATTATAATTACCACCACTACCACAACCACGATCACGAGCATTAGTGTAGCACTGCTGTTACTAGTACTACTCCTCCTGCTGCTGCTCCTCCTGCAGCTCCTGCTGCTGCTGCTCCTCCTGCTACTGCTACTGCTATTGCTACAACACCACCACTGGTGACCACCACCACCGCCGCCGCCGCCGCCGCCACCACCACCACCACCACCACCACCACCAACACCAAGACAAATGATGATGATGATGATGATGATGAAGTGCCACGAGTGCTCGATTTGTGGCTGTGGCCAGCCCTTAGGTAGTTGCAGTAGAAGCCTTGCGGCGGAGCCACTACGCCTCAAACTCACTACGAGATTGTTCTGGTCGAGCTTGCTACGGAGCGGCTCTGTCTCGAATGTGCCTCTGATTCGGCCGTTCGATACGGCGTAGAGTTGACTTACGAGTATCTGGAGTGCTCGACCGTTGAACAACTCTTTGAGTCTTTGAGGAGGCGAAAGGTTTGCTGCCACCAGAAGACTTCCTGCGAGCTCTTGCCTTCTTCAACTCTAACAACCCACTGCTTTGTCAGTGTCTTGCTGCTCCTGCCTCTGGGGCATCGACGCGCTGGAAACGAGGGCAGTAATGAGTGGATTCCATCGTGTCTTTAGTTTGGCTACAGCACCGACCCCAGAGCTCAGACGAGGATCGAATTTTCCCGTTCTTTCCACTTCACCTACAAGTACTCACGCAACGAGCTCTACATCATCCCGGCCCCACTTCCGGGGGATGGACAGACCAAGGTCAGAACGGCACCGTCAAGTCCATTGGCACGAGGGTGGGTCGAGTTTCCTTGGACCTACCTGGAGCTTCTCATGAAGCGAACGACAAGGAGTTTATGGTCTCACCTTTTCACGGCGGCATTCAGAAACGTACACTTAGAAAGGCCATTCGTACAGCAGCCCAGACTGGTACATCACAGTACAGAGGCAAGAAGATGCTCGCGAACGTGAACATCAGATCTTTCCGCAGCACCCACTCCAATGTTGATAATGGTCAATGCGTTCAGATTTTTAGTTGGAACTGCAGCGGACTTTCACAGCAGGTTCTAGCAGAGCTACTACTCTGGCTTGAGGGCAAACAACCAACATCACTCTCCTGCTAGAGACGCAATTGGGGCAAACCATTGAGTGGACTCGCAAGGACGGCATTTTGTCCACTAAATCAAAAACACAGCCGGTGTCCTGATCGGGATCACATTAGAGTAGGCGGACGAACTTAGCTGGACGGCGGCTCTTCCAGGACGGCTCTTTCAGGTCCGGTGTTTCTCGCAGGAGCAACACATCGATCTGGTCAACTGCTATCAGCATGCTCTTGTAACTGTATATGGGGAGAATGCCAATCTTGCATCTCCGTATGA